CAGCTATCCCCGGACCCGGCCGCCGCCTCAGCGCCGCAGCTATCCCCTGACCCGGCCGCCAGCGCCGCAACTATATCCGGCCGCCGCAGCTATCCCCGGATCTGGCCTCCGAGCCGCAGCGGGTTCCAGTTCCGGCTGCCGCGACCTCCAGTTCCAGCCGCCGCGACCTCCAGTTCCAGCCGCCGCCGCGACCTCCAGTTCCAGCCACCGCCCCAGAGCCACCGCGACCTCCAGTTCCGGCCGCCTCCAAGCCGCAACGGGCTCCAGTTCCGGCCGCCCCCGAGCCGCAGCGACCTCCAGTTCCAGCCGCCGCCGCAACCTCCAGAGACGCCGGGACCTCCAGTTCCGGACCCCGCTGGGCCACCATCTGAATCCTGTTCCCCGGAGCCCCGTCACCTAATCGGTTTATTCAGTGCACCTGTCAGTCACACCCACCTCGTCAGCGCATTACTCTCACCTGCTCACTCTGCTGCATCACTATTTAAACCCCGGTCACACACACACTCACTGCCAGATCATTTTCATGTCTACCCGCCCGTTTGGCTCGTCCTGTTCCCGGTTTTCCCCGTCTGCCTGCCCTGCCTCGTCCTGCTGGATTTCCTCTCTTGTCTCATCCGTGGATTCCCTGTTATGTTCCTGTAAGTTTTCATTAAATACCTGCGGCACTCTACTTCTGGTCTGGTCTGCATTTGAGTCCTCCACCACACCCCGTGACAATTACTGCATATATGCTGAAAACATGGTTTCGACTAATATGTGATAAATATATAATATCTATAGCAGTTACAACACGATTCATTAGGAGTCTTGTGTCCATGTGATGTTAGTCCAATAGTCGCTCTCTTTTAGCTCTGTCTTTGGTCTCCACCAACTCCTGAGGAAACACCTGTCCCTTCTCTGCTAAATGCTCCACTGAGTCCACCAGCTAGTCTCTAACTGTCTGAAACAATGAACCGAAAGATGCAAAACACTGAGAGGAACTGCAGAGTTGGTGATAAGTCTCTAACGACTTCTTTCATAGTCATTCGTCCTAATGTTGGGTTAATGCAGCTTTAAGGTGAGGTTTCCAGCTGGATGTCCAGTGGAGCTTAGTTTTAACATTTACACTGTTGAATTAAAAAATGTCTGAATGTGGTGACGAAACAAGCCCTCAAATAGTGGGTGTGTATCTTAAAAAGTCCATGTTGGGCCGACCCAAACAAATCACCCTGGTGGCTGAATAGCCACAGCTCCTTTATAATGACTGTACAGTGTGAATGAAACCTGCTTTGACAAAAAGAGGAAGTGAATTATTTGTGGCAGCGCCTCGCTCAGTCAGCACTTCTGTGTTCTGCTTCGGTCACCATGTGTTACTCGTGCAGTGGACTTTCCCCACTCAGCTCATGTGTTAGTGTTTTGAAAAAGACACAGCTTTCAGTGTGGAGATGTTATGAATGAATGATGTTTGGAAGGAGAAATCAAATGTCTGAATAGAAGAGATTCACTGATATATCAGGTACGTGTCTTGTCTTCTAAGGCTTTGAGTAAGAAACAGCAATAACTTGAGCTGGGTATTGAATCTCTTTGAGTACAGATGATGTCTGGAAAACTGACACCCGCCTAAAAGTTGTGCAGATTCTGAATCTTGTTCACTTTTAATTTCATTACAATGTCATGTCGTTTATACTACTTAGTTCCTGTGTGGCTGTGAATTCTTGCGACACATTGGACATACATGCACAGTCTCAATCAGTCTGGTCATCGGCCTGTGGTGGATAAATGCCAACTGCAAGTATGTGCATGTAGACAGGGTCCAGTTCAAAGAGACTTTCTGCTGCGTCTTTGGATTGCATTAGTTTAATGGATTTTAACAGAGTTGATCAGGTCTCAACAGCATATTTTCTGTCAGTTTTTAAAAGATTGGAAAAGTTTTAATGGATATTAGTGAATTTTACTGCACGCTGCATATGTGATAGAATTCAATATACCTAGTCCTATATTAGTTTCTTGTGACCTGCCTAATCTTCATGTGTAGTGCCCCTTTAATTATTTCAATTTTACTGAGGTCCAGAGCGTTCAGTGTGCTGCTGTTAGTCACCACGTCTGTTCCAGGCTGGGTTGCCCGGTCAGTTGGTGTTGGCAGTCGGCAGATACGATGACTTACTCCTCTGATCCAGTCATTCATTATATATTCTAAACATGAAATATGTACCACTGTTACCTGTTCCAACTCCACCCTATTTTGGAGCAAAACCGCCTAAAATGACATACCCAAATTAAAATGGCTGTAGCTTCTGAACCACTCTGACTATATGCATAAATGAGGTCTTTCTAGAAAGAAAACCCCCTAAGGTTCCTTGTGGAAGTGTCAGAAAACCTGTAGGTCATACAGAAACAGAGCAGTGGGCCTTTGAAATCAGTAAAAATTGAAGAGTTTTGTCTGCCTAAAATAGTGTCTTTCAGTATAAATAACTGCCTGTGGCTGTATTTTTGCAGGTAAAGGACAGTATAGGGCTGTAACTACACTATCAGTGAACAACTGCCTCAAATTTGAAGAAGATTGGACAAAGTATGACCATTCTACAGTGTTTCTTCCATGAAGAGATCCAGGCGGAGCTCTAAAAGGATATTTGGAGACCCAAATGGACACATGGTAACCAAATGATATTCTGACACACTAAAGGTGTTTCTTCCTTGATATTTTGATATTATATTCTTTTCCTTTTATTTTTAGCCTTTGCAAATTGCAAAAACTATGTATATATGGTCGAAGACGTGGTGTGTGAGTAGCGGACTTGCTGTGCGTAATGGCTGCGACAGAGTGCACGATCGAGTATGCCGGTAGTTCATTTGCGCAAAGGTTATATGTTGGTTTACGGCTTACGTAAGAAACAGTCAAGGTTTGCACTATAAGTACTAGCATTTTCTGAAGGCACTAGTTCCATGGTAAGATCCGCTAGCACATTGTCGGGTCTGTAATGTGTCTTTTTCCGTCGAAATGCTGCAAGATCCGACTTGCAGCGGTTATGGTGACTTTGGGCAGTGTGTGTTTGGGCTCCTTTTGTGAAAAATCCATAAGAAATAAAAGAAAATAGATGTTTTCTTTGCAAAGATGAGGATTTGGGGCATGCTCGGATACCAAACACAGCCATGTTTTGTGACGTATTTTGCAGAAGCAAGCCGTACGAACGGAAGGGGAGGGGATCGAGGACGCCGGCGTCCTCGCGGGGTGCAGGAGGTTAAAATCATGTAATGAATTATTTTAAAACCAAGTCCATCATGTTGAAGAGTTAACTGTCCTTGTAATCTCATTCACAGTCTAATACAGCTTTAGCACTTTTCCTTTTTCTTGCTTTTTTGTCTTGTTGGATTTTGGCGTGACTCTAATCATAGTCGTCCAGTGTGTTAGTGATTCATTTTTAGGATGTATATTCTTTGTATGTTTCAGTAATCTGAATTTCTGTTCCCAGCTTTAAGTCATCAAGGTGTGTATTAAATATTCAATATTACCGGCACTCCTTCTGTAATTTAACCTCAAACACGTTTTTGCGTTTTCAGTAGTTGGTTCCCCATGAAGGTTTAGTGTAAGAACATTGTGACCTGCTGGCCTCAGAATGTGGTGCAGCTTTAGTTTTTCTGGTGCGTTGATCTTGAACATGTTTTTTCTGCTCTGCTGTCTGGTGTTGGACCACCAGCTGCCTGCAGATGTGCTGAGGCTGAAGGAGCGTTTTGCCGTCACCAGGAGAGAGCTGGCGGTGCATCTCACTACACCTGATGTTGCCCACATCAGACAGAGCTGTGACACTAAGGTAGGAGTCTGACTGGGTCGTGTTTCTCTCCAGTCCTCTTCCTCTTTTTAGAGATAATAAAGAAGTCTTTGAGGGAGGAAGGACTTGTTCTGCTGGCCCTTTAGAACCTCGGATTAACCAACTAATGTGATACAAATAAGGGCTGATAAGTCAGTTTTTTTTGACAAATTGCATTTGTTACATGTTTGTATCAGATTTGATAATATGCATAACCTTGCTTATACGACTGTATTGTGTTTTCCAGGTGCAGCAGTTGATGAAAGCAGCGAGGAGTGGTACCAGGGACGGTTTAGAAAAGACCAAGTTAGCCATGATTCGCAAAGTGTCATTCCTGCAGAGAAAAGACTCCACAGGTGCAGAAACTGGGATGAACTAGTTCACCTATTCTGTTCAGTTTGTGGAGATCAGCCTTATCGTACTTGTCAGTTATACAGTGGGTACGGAAAGTATTCAGACCCCTTTAAATTTTTCACTCTTTGTTTCATTGCAGCCATTTGCTAAAATCAAAAAAGTTCATTTTATTTCTCATTAATGTACACTCAGCACCCCATCTTGACAGAAAAAAACAGAAATATAGAAATTTTTGCAAATTTATTAAAAAAGAAAAACTGAAATATCACATGGTCAAAAGTATTCAGACCCTTTGCTGTGACACTCGTATTTAACTCACATGCTGTCCATTTCTTCTGATCCTCCTTGAGATGGTTCTACTCCTTCATTGGAGTCCAGCTGTGTTTAATTAAACTGATTGGACTTGATTAGGAAAGGCACACACCTGTCTATATAAGACCTTACAGCTCACAGTGCATGTCAGAGCAAATGAGAATCATGAGGTCGAAGGAACTGCCCAAGGAGCTCAGAGACAGAATTGTGGCAAGGCACAGATCTGGCCAATGTTACAAAAGAATTTCTGCAGCACTCAAGGTTCCTAAGAGCACAGTGGCCTCCATAATCCTTAAGTGAAAGTAGTTTGGGACGACCAGAACTCTTCCTAGACCTGGCCGTCCAGCCAAACTGAGCAATCGTGGAAGAAGAGCCTTGGTGAGAGAGGTAAAGAAGAACCCAAAGATCACTGTGGCCCTCCACCAGTCGGGGCTTTATGGCAGAGTGGCCCGACGGAAGCCTCTCCTCAGTGCAAGACATATGAAAGCCCGCATAGAGTTTGCCAAAAAACACATGAAGGACTCCCAGACTATGAGAAATAAGATTCTCTGGTCTGATGAGACCAAGATTGAACTTTTTAGCATTAATTCTAAGCGGTATGTGTGGAGAAAACCAGGCACTGCTCATCACCTGCCCAATACAATCCCAACAGTGAAACATGGTGGTGGCAGCATCATGCTATGGGGGTGTTTTTCAGCTGCAGGGACAGGACGACTGGTTGCAATTGAAGGAAAGATGAATGCGGCCAAGTACAGAGATATCCTGGAAGAAAACCTCTTCCAGAGTGCTCTGGACCTCAGACTGGGCCGAAGGTTCACCTTCCAACAAGACAATGACCCTAAGCACACATCTAAAATAACAAAGGAGTGGCTTCGGAACAACTCTGACCATTCTTGACTGGCCCAGCCAGAGCCCTGACCTAAACCCAATTGAGCATCTCTGGAGACACCTGAAAATGGCTGTCCACCAATGTTCACCATCCAACCTGACGGAACTGGAGAGGATCTGCAAGGAAGAATGGCAGAGGATCCCCAAATCCAGGTGTGAAAAACTTGTTGCATCATTCCCAAGAAGACTCATGGCTGTACTAGCTCAAAAGGGTGCTTCTACTCAATACTGAGCAAAGGGTCTGAATACTTATGACCATGTGATATTTCAGTTTTTCTTTTTTAATAAATTTGCAAAAATTTCTACATTTGTTTTTTTCTGTCAAGATGGGGTGCTGAGTGTACATTGAGATATAAAATTAACTTTTTTGATTTTAGCAAATGGCTGCAATGAAACAAAGTGAAAAATTTAAAGGGGTCTGAATACTTTCCATACCCACTGTAAATATCTGTATCAAAGCTACCAGAACAGATTCGTAAAGGGGTTGTATTTCATTTTGCAGGTGAGGGAAAGGATGATGCAGGTTACCTGGATGTGTCTGTGTGTGAGTTGAAGCACCCTCCACCACAGCTGTGCCCCATGCCAGAGGGGCTCAGCAGTCAGCAGGTGACACTCAAGATGACCAGCTTTAGTTTTTCTGCAGCGTATTTAGAAAGCAGCATCCACGTTTTAGACATGTCACTACAGCTTCACTGCTTCCTATGGTTAAGCTCAGTATCTGTAACATTTTTATTCTCCCTGTTTGTTTGATCCTGTTGTAGTAAGAAGACTGTTTTTAATTAGCTGATAACTCAACACGTCCTCCATGTTTACCTGTTGTCTTGATGAATTCAGTGTAATGTACATTTCCACAGCACTAATTCCATCAGTACAACTACACATGTCATACTCACCACTCTGCTGTTCTCTCTTTCACTTTGTTACAATAATACTGCTTTCATTCACCAATCAATGCTTCTACTTTGCTGTTTTCTCAATTGTTGATAAAGGAAAACTTCACACAAAATGACCAATTGTATATCAATGACTGACCTGTTACCTTGGATTCTTGAGGAAAAACTAGTTTTTCTCTCCGGCCTTTGCTGTGAATGGAGAATCCAGACACGGCAGAACGATCTTGGTGATTGGACGTAAATGGGGGCTGTGATTAACAACAGCAAATAGTAAGGTTTTTGCGAAGATGTATGTGTTTGTGAAGTAGTGAGCATACTGCATACATCCATAGACTGGATAAACGAGACTTGGATTATACTGCACGAGTTGTGTGAGAGTTTGTAAACTGATGTCGTGATATAGTTTTGCTGTTGTCCAAAGCGGCGCCATTTACTTCAATTCATCAAGACGTTTCTCCATTTTTTTTTTTTTTTATTCTTCGTTCAACATGGAGGCATGATAGAAAAGCAAAGTGTCCTTCAGCAGTTCAAGGTTAACCTGGGTGAGTAATAAATATACAAATATTCATTTTGTGGATGAACTATTCCTTTTAAACTTCTATAAGTGGAACTCAACACTTCCTGTAGATGGCATATTATTTAATTGTGAGAAATAAATGAGTGTAAAAAAAGAGACCAAGAGAGCAGCAGAGTGCTGAGTAGGACTCAGTTTCTTCTTCTTGTTCTGATGGAATTAGTGCTTTAGAAATGTACATCATACTGAATTCATTTAGCCATTGCAGTACAGGTAATTCTATGTTGTTTTTAACCAGGCCTTTGTTAGTGGTGTTTGTGCTGACCACAGCAATTATTTGACACACCGTTATTTTAATATCAGCTTTCATTTGATAATTTACAGGATACAATGTGGTACATTGGAAAAACCTCTAACAGTAATTAATTGCAGGTGTTTTTAAAATTCATTGATGTGAATGTTTAAGTTTCTCACTGCCTCCTTCAGGTGGTCAGACGTCTCATCCTCACCTCCATTGTGCAGAGTGAAAGCAACTACCTGGACTCTCTCAAGAGAATCCTCCAGGTGAGTCACGTCCCTCCTCAGGTAACAGGAAGTCACTTTGTTTCTATGGGAGAGAGTGAGAGTGGAACATATTTATGGTCTGTGTTCACTGTTGTGTTGAGAAGATCATAACACCAGAGCATCAGTGGTGACGGAGCAATTCTGTGGCTCTTCACTTTATGACCCATCTCTGCGTTCTGTTTTCCGCTCGCATTACCATTGTTATGCCGATGACACCCAGCTGGTCTTGTCATTTCCCCCCGGTGACACTCAAGTGGAGGCACGCACCGCTGCGTGCTTGGCTGACATCTCGAAGTGGATGACGACACAGCACCTCAAGCTGAACCTGGACAAAACCGAGCTACTGTTCCTCCCGGGGAAGGGCTGCCCGCTCCGAGACCTGTCCATCACCATTAATGATACCGTGGTGACGCCAACTCGGACTGCGAGGAAGCTGGGTGTGACCCTGGACGACCAACTGTCCGTCCATCCATCCATTTTCCTCCGCTTATCCGGGGTCGGGTCGCGGTAGCAGCAGGCCAAGCAGGCTGACCCAGACTTCCCTCTCACCAGCAACATGTTCCAGCTCATTCTGGGGGATCCCGAGGCGTTCCCAGGCCAGCTGGGAGATGTAATCCCTCCAGCCCGTTCTGGGTCTTCCCCGGGGTCTCTTCCCAGTTGGACGTGCCTGGAA